TCTCTAATTGAACATCTTTTTATTTTACCTCTTTAGATTTTGTCCTGCTTGAAATTATCATTGTATTTCAGTGTGGCTGAATCTATATTATATCATAATATCTATGCATTTAATTATGTATCTATTATTCTATTGGCTTTTCACAATTTTAAGAAACATATTGTTAATTTTTTATATAACAATAACTTCTTTTTATGACATGATGTTATCATGGGATATGATTTTTTTTTTGAAACACATGAGATATAATTTATTAATCAGAAACAGTGAATTAATCTATATAATTATTGGATATCAAGTTTATTCGAGAGATCAAATTTCTCATAAATAAATTTAATTTACTTACTTATATTCCACACATCATACTTTTGAATGCTAATCTTGGACCAAAGCAAATATGTCTCGCATTATATAACAACAGTCAACACTGAAATCAACCAACCATACAAATACATTAAAATCTCAAAATGATACAAGTCATTAGAAGGTCTCTAGCTTGAGACCACTATTAATTGACCAACACAAAACACATACAAGATAAAACAAACCAAAAACAAATTTATACATCATAGATATATCAGCGAATGATAGGAGAGTATTAAGACTCAAATTGATCATGTCCAGTTTTGATGATAAGCTACTACATGTCTCTGACATGGAACACGTTAGGGTTCTTGACGACGATATCATACATATGGATAGAGTTAAACTTTGAGAAATCTCGTGGGAGAGAGATGAGATCGATGGATGTTTTCTTGTGGAACTGGAGGAGATGATCGGCGTTGTCTCCATAGTAGTACCTCTCCCATCCAAGACCCTTCAAGATCCTCTCAAGTGAACCGTACGAAGAGACAACCTCGCTGGTCGGAAGATGGACAAGGATCTTCCTCCTCATCCTCTGCTGCTGGCTACCACCGGAGGAAGAAGATTCCGACGAATCTCCGGTGGATTGGTTGTAAGGATTCTCAACCAGCCTCATCACACCGTTCTTGTTGAACACCCATACACCAGACATTGTGTTGATGGTTGTCTACGAACTAGGGTTTTATTTTTATATTTTGTGAGTTTTTTTGTATGCTTGCTCTTCACAGTGACCTTGTTGATTTTGATGAGGACAAGGAAACTGTGTAGAGGGTTATATATATGTTAGTAAAGGGGCCATGTCAAGATGCTGATATATTTTATGATTATATATACATATAGATATAGATATATTAATATATATTTATATGTTACATTGAGAACTCCAGAATTCTCGAAAGGGACAGAATCTTATCTTTCAATCTTCCACCAAATTATATGTATCATATTTGGGCGCAAAGGAATAACTTCTTTTTGTTTTGTGCAAAAACAAAAGAAAAATCATATTCCATAACATTAAAGCTTGTCTTATTACAAATCAGATGTAGTTAACTTATATATATTTCTACAAAAGATTTTGGCAAAGTGTCCAAAATCCATTGTCTGATCTTCAAGCTGATCCAACTAAAAAAAAAAAAATACTAGAGGTATCTATATCCAATCTAGATAACTAAATTAAAAAAAATATTTGGATCCAATTGGCTTTTGTATACATTTTTGACATTTATATAATGATTTTTTTTTCATATTTCAGCGAAATTAAATATTGGTTTAGTATTTTAGTTAGTACGTGGATGTTGGTGGATCCGAACTCGGATACTTATTTTACAGGACGTCCTAAAGTTTAAAGTGTTCGATTCAATCTTAGTCCACATATCCTGATGATGAACTAGCTAGGTTTTATTTTGGAATCTTTTCTTTTTGTTTTGTTTTTGATTTATATATATTTTGTGTGGTTAGTTTCTTCGTTTTCTTTATGTCGAAGAATCTTTGGTAGGATTTCACAAAATTTAGATTCTTGTTCGTATTATATAACTATTTTAAACGGAATGGCAAGACTATTTCTAGTTTGCATGAGCTCATGCGTGACATAGCATCGGTCCAACTTATTATTACGTAATTAAATGGGTTCGGCACTTAAATCATGAGATTATTCAAAATATGAAAATATAAAGTCCAATAAATATTTTCCACAGAACAACTGAGATAATTGATTTGATTATCTGAAAAAATATGTATGCATCTTTTTGTCAACTAAAAAAATTATATTTAGTGTGGTAAGAATTCTGTTTTTTTTTTATCCCACGTCCACGTGAGGAATATATGAGTTTAAAAACTTCATAATTATTTTGTTCCGGTAATTTCAAAATTTCATGATGTTGGTTTAGAGATCAATACAAGTATAATACAATTTATCTAGAGTTATATATTTAGTTTGAAAAGGATAAATTAAGAAGATCGATCTTTGTATTATGTATATTTTTCCTATGGTCTATTAGTTACTCTATCGATCTTTGTATATAGCTGATAGATTAAATCCTTTGGTCCTCGGTCACATATGCAAAGTGATAATGACTAGGTTCAACATCAATATTATATTCTGTTTTTAGATGGGTCTAGTATACAGAATTAATAAATCATAATAATGCAATGTATATTCTATATATTATTCTAATTTTTATAAATTTGTAAAAAGATGGACAAAAAGTACACACAAAAAGAAAAATGAAAGAGAAAAGAGAGACATTGATGGGGAAATATGAGAAGTGGGAGCGAAGTCCCTCGTGGGAGATGATGCGAAGCCACACTCACTCAGCCCTCATTCCCTTCAGCACTCACTACTCAACACAACCACAAAGATTTAGTCCTTTTGTTCCTATTTTCATTTACCGTTTTAGGTCCATCGTCCTAATTAAGTTGACAGATCTATAATATGCTACCTAACGTTGATCGTGCAACGTGTAATATTTCTTTTGAATATGTTTGCATGTTGCTGATAATTTACTTTTTTGTAATCAAAATAAATTTATGTAGCATATTATGCTACCTAACACACAAACTAATATTTTGATTATCCTCATGTATCTACATAGACAAATAAATCTGAGTCTGGTAAGTTTCAAACTTGCTTACTTAGCACTTTTCCAAACCTATCTTACCACTCGTTTGTATACGTAAATTGCATCAGTTCATCGCTTGCTTTGTTCTTGTGGTGTCAACGTCGTTTGGGTAAAATTGACAAAAACAAAATAGAAACTATATAATTAAAATTTCCAAACTATTCTCTTTGCTTATCTATATAATACTTCTAGGGGCTTCCCAGATACATTTTTCAAAGATTCTTTCTCATCTTAAATTTTCCAAAGATTCTTCTCATCTTCATGTGTTCACATATAATCTACTCACGATGATACAGCCATAAACTTTGCATCACATTAGTTTTTATATTTCGTGTTCAACTATAGTAATTACTATCGGTAATTAGACGTCAGAAACTGCTTAGTATCAAGAACATTCCAGCCATCTTACATGTTATGTTAATGGTTTTGTATATATTTCCGAATGATTTGTCCTCGTTTTTTATGCTACTGAGATTACTTTGCATTACTCACCTTAAATTCCACTAATCAAACTTGTTTATATGCAAAGGTTCCCGGCGGCAAAAACTTTTCAGGTTATCTTATGTTAAGAAAACATAGTTTGTTATCTTCATAAACATTTAACATATCCTCATCATTACAAAATTAAGTATTTTGTTTGTGTTTAAAAGGCTAGGTCAATTAAAAACTAATACACACATCTATATATATTGAAGATGTCAGTTGGTGTATGAAAACATTAAATTAAGTTGATGCGTTGTTGAGTAGTTTTATATAAATAAAATAACTAAACAATGAATTAAGAAGTTTTTAACTTATGACGCTTCAAGTTAGAAATTTTATTTATAGTGACATTATTTGTGTCTTCATCCACAATGATATAATATTCTCTTTAAGATAGCCAATATTCAATCGTTTAAATAGGAACCAGAAAAACATGTCATCATTTAGGAACGTAGGTAACCATTATTTTTCCTTCCAAGTTGTTATCTAAGAATATATACAACCTTCGTTGATTGGATCGTTCATAATCAATCAGATCACAAACATTATTTTTATTGAAAATATAATATTAGTTCTCATACTCGCAATTTTTATTCTCCTTCACGTGGAAAAGAATAACTCTCCATATACACTGTACTAGTACAAAACTTTAACTGTAATTTACACTGAAATAACTTACAAGAATCAAGTTCACATACGCACATATATACACAAAAGGAGGATATGTAGCTCTAGTGGTATTCTCATCAGGGAAGATATGCTCAAGTAGCCAATGAAGGAGCGACTAGTGCAGGGTCACTTACGTACAACTTAGAATAATTCTGTCAAGAAAATGATATCTCGTTCTATTTCTAGATCCCTAACATTACTAGTATTGGTAATGTTACATATCGAATTTTATTTGAAACTAGTGAATGAAGAAGACATATAATGATCTAATTTTCTCGTTATTGATAATTTTATCAAATATATTATTTCTGGCTTTTAATAGTTCTAAAGCCCTGTCTCAAAAAAGAAAGAAAGAAAAGTTAACAAAGAGAATATTAATTTACGTATTCATATTTGGCTTAAGCATATTAGGCTTGAGCATATTACATGGAACCGAAAGAGTAGTCGCTAATGAATGAATATTACATACTTTCTAACACACGTTGAACATTAACGCCCCAATTATGAGATGTTGTATACGTAAGTTAACAAAGAGAATATGAACTCCTAGCTGCCAATTCGAATACTTGGTAAAAAGCCGAAACTTTTAATATTCGTGTGTACTCCCTCTGTTTCACTTTATTTGTCATTCTAGGTTTTTACACACAGATTAAAGAAATATTTAATTTTACATATTTCCAAACACAATTACTTATACACCTAACCATTTTTCAAACAATAGAAAAATAGAATATTATTAAAACTAATAAATTTTGCCTCGAAACTTTAAAACGACATTTAATTTGTGACAAAAAAATAAGTCTAAATGACATATATTTTGAAACGGAGGGAGTATATATTATGTGTTGTGTAAAAGACCATATCTACTCAATTAGACCATATGTGCTAATAGATTCTACGTCTTTGAAGGATAATATACCTAAGTAACCCCTTTGAATGATAAAAGACCATATCCACTTAATTAGAACATAGGTCCTTGTTAACAAGTTTTAAATTACAAACTTACTTCTCAGTTTTACTTTTGTTATTTTAATATTTGTGTTATTGGATTGTTTATAGTTAATTGCTTTTTACTTGTTAATTCGCATTTTATTTTAGATTCAAATATTCAAGACGATTCTACCAAAAAAAAACTATTCAAGACGACATCCTACTCGAACTTTTTTTTGTTACCTTCTTCATCAAATGTTTGATCCATTAAATATACAATTTAAATCATGATAGTCATGTTCAAATTGTAACACAATTCTATTTCGAAGTGTGTGTTAGAACACGGCTTAGCCAATGCATAGAATGTTAATACCATGCTTGATCTCAACACGAAAAAACAAAACATGTCTGCATCGGTTTGCTCCACGCAAGAAGTTGAATCAAAGTAGCCATACAAATACGAGTTAATCCCACAAACAAAAACAGATCAACTAAGCCAATCATGCATTGCAAAAAAAAAACGAGAGACAGCACTTACAATGCTCATACCGAAACAATAAAAGTGATCCTAATAAATCTGAAATTGCTCTAGAAAGTCTTCTACAGAATCCTAGTTGATTAAACTGAGGGCAAGGTTGAAACAAAGGGCAGATATGGCACATGAAAAGCCTACTTGCAGGTCTCTCATTTAATCTTCTTTATGATGTCCTCGATGACTTCTTCCATATCAAGAGCCTTCATTGGAGCAAATGGACGTTTCATCTCCTACATAGTGACATAAACACAATGTTCATTACTTAATTCTAAACTAAGATCGAAAGGCAAACAAATTTTTAGTGTATACTCACGATAACTAACATTAATAGTCGCCTAGAACACATTGAAATTCAATTAACAAAACTTTTACCAAACTAAACCTATGCTGTTTCGTAGATATAACATCAATTGCAAACTGGAATACTGATCCATAGTTGATTTTCATTCTCATATGCATATGTGCTAAAAGAATTAATACAACTAATAAACCTCACTCAAACGGAACAAATCCGAAAAGTGAGACAAGTTGAGATTTGTTATTAAAAGAAGGGAAGTTTTACCAAAAGACTGATGAATGTTTCGCCACCTTCCTTCCGGATCTCAAAGCAACCACGCCTTGGCTGTTCAAGCACATCAACAGAAAAAGTTTTAGCCAAGGAAAAGATAACTTAGCAACCATAACGTAACAACCATGCTTTAACATTGTGACAATTCATGACTAGACATTCAACAACTGCAGTAACAGAATTACCTTTTCAGGGTTAAGAGTCACAGTGACGCCAGGAACAGCTCCTTCCAGACCTTCCTTCACCTGAATAGCCCTTGTCTTGAAAGCATTGCATTGTTTACTTCATTAACAAAATAACAAAAAAACAGACAAAACTTCCGTGAGAAAACATAACATAAAGAACCAGAAGCAAACCCTATCTCTCTCTCTCTCTCTCATTTGAAAAAGCCCAATGTCATCATTATAAAACCACTAATAAGAAACATTATTCGAAAAATCAAAACGAAACCCTAGCAATCACAAATACAAAACCCTAGCTTCTACATGGAAACCACATTCTCAACTCAACACACAGTTCAGTAACATCAAACAGCACCAAAGCTTTAGCTACAATTTTCAAGTAAAAGCCCTAGATTTCTGCTCTTTACGAAACCTAGAAGATGAAAAGCCCTAAAACTTCAGACTCATACCAGTGTTCAATAACAATCTTGACTTTCGTCGAGTCTTCTTCAACCTCTTCAGCTTCTTCCTCTTTCTCAACTTCCTCTTCCTTCTTCGCCTTCTTAGCTCCTCTACCAGTCTCAGTAGACGCTTTCTTCCTCTTCGGAGACGCAACCTTCACCTCCTTGGTTACGGATCCGGTTGCTTTAGCGCCGTTTTGCTGAGTCGCACTTCGAGTTCGACGATCCATGCTCCGAGTCACTCTCGACGAAGTCGGCGCCAAAGGTTTCGCCTTTTCCTCTCCCTCTGCCTTACTCTTCCTCGGCGCCATTGTACAGAAGACAGAACGAAGAAACAGGGTTTCGTTGAAACACAGCTCTTTGGTGAGATGAGAGACTCTGAAGTGAAAGATGTTCCGTCTCTCTTTTAGTTTTATTTAGATGATCTCAACGGACGGTTAAGATTTCGTCCCTCTTGTTTTCAAAAGAAATAAAAAAACTTATGACCGTTCGATTTGACTGAAGGGACCAGAAGCGACGTTTATTTATGATCACTATAGTGCGGTACAGTTGTGTTTCGAAACGCTTTGTCGTTTCGCTTCTAAAGGGTATGACTACTTGCCGTTTTCTAGTAGTTGCTTAGTGGATATACTTTCACACTGGCTTTGTTAATTTTTTTAGCTTTTTGTAGTTCTTACTTCTTAGTGGATATAACCATCACTATGTTCAGTATATATAAGAAATGATAAATATCTAAGACAAACATTGGTTTATGAATCGCAATTCAAAGTTGTAATAAGTTATAAGCTAGCAACTTCTCGACGCTAATGCTTGTTAACCATAAACAAAATCTAAAACACTCAAGCTACTCTTGTTTGTCAATTTGTAAGTACTAAATTATCTTGTGTCTTAAGTTTTTAATTTCGATTATATAAACAACTACATAACTCATTATATTGTTGTATAGTGCTATTTCTCATGTCAACTTCATCTTGTCAATTCCATCTATTCTCACCCGAAGACATTGAGTTGCTTAAAGCACTATACACAACAAATAATGAGTTATGTAGTTGTTTATACGATCGAAATTAAAAACCTAAGACATAAGATAATTTAATACTTACAAGTTGACAAATGTTTTTATGCTCAAAAAGTGTCCAGGCATATTCATAAGGATCGCAAATTTTTGAGTGAATTCCTCTCTCTCCTTGAGGTGTGACATCAAATAAGTTATTATTCTTCATTAGAGTTAATCTTCTGACTTCATTAACTGTCACTCGAAGTGTGATGCCAATTTCAAAATAAAAAATGTAGAGTACATGATTAGATTAATCATAAACGATAACGAAAATGATGAGAAAAGAAGAACAAAATATCTATAAGGCTCTACAACTTTTTTGGAGATGACCAGAGTTGTTCCGACTAGAAATAGTTCGACACAAGGAAGAGAGTCAAAGCTTCCGATTTTAACTGCTCCAAAAACTTTCACATAGTACTGTGTAGCTTCAGATAACTTTCCATGCTTAACAAATATATGCTTTTTGAACTTCTTCACAAAGAAGGAAGCTTCCATATGTTTGAAAAAATAACTACAAAAAAATTAATTGCAACAAGCGAAAACAATTTACAATAAAAATTATCAGTAAATGTAAGGATGACGAATTAGAACCAAAATGGAAACAGAATCAAAACCTACAATAACATGTTTAGGTTCTTACAAATCAGGTGCACCATGTTTCAAAACAGATCTGGTCCTGTCGGTATACCAGATTTGAGTTTGTTATTAAAACGTCATGAGTTTGGTATACCAGATCATGATCTCCTGCTGGTATACCTGAAACACCTTGCCGTTTTTCCTCTATAGGGTTATGACTATTTACCGTTTTTTATTCCGAAGGAATAGAAATTCCAGCTCATTTGATACCAATTGCGCGAAATTCCAACTTTCTTTTACACTGATTTTGTATTAACTTTTTTTAGCTTTTTGTAGTTCTCAGTGGATATAATTATAACCATCAATATGTTAGGAGAATAAATACAGAAATGCTAAACATCTAAAGAAACATTGCTTTTATGAATCGCAATTCAAAGTTGTAATTAAGTAATAAGCTAGCAACTTCTCAACGCTAATGTTTGTTAACCATAAACAAAATCAAAAACACTCAAGCTACTCTTGTTTGTGTCTGTGCCAGGCTCAAGACCCGACTTTGAATCACAGTAATATGAATGGTACGAGTATTTATCACAGGGCGGATGCTTTAGTAAGAGTTTAGCCAAGACCAAAGATGACAATATAGAATCTGATAAGCCCTTTCAAACCAGCGAGGTGTAATTAGGGAAGAGATACATCAACCGGTTCAGAGTTTCAGGGTTAAACTTCCGAGCAAATAGATAACATGGACGTTGCTCTCCTTTCCATAGACACGGCCTTACTGTCGTCACTTTCTGCTTAGAGAATGATTAATGGATCAGTGAAAGAACCATGGTTAACAACTAACAAGATGTAGAAGAAGACTCGGGTACTTTACCTTTAAATCGCTTGTTACATGGTAAGCAAGTTGGATGGACTGCATATCAGATCAAAACAGCGAACTTAGGTCGTGGAATAAGACAAAATCTAAGGGACATAGAGAGAGATGAAAGCAAGAGGAACCTTGATTTTTCTGAGGAGGTGAGGAGTGATGTCTCTTGCATTGTATAATCTCGGATGCCATTTCCCCTCTGACCAGTCAACATGTGTAACCGACCAGTTTGCTATTCCATTTGGATCAATCATCTGAAAGTAAGAGATCATTAAGCAAAGTGTAATAAAAAGAGAGATGCAAGCAAGTAATGAGTACACTAACATTGAAGAGAGTTGGGAAATAATGTTCGTCCGCATAGCAGTTGCGTCCTTCCATCTTCGGCTGTGAGAAAACGTAAGCCGTTAGGTAAAAAAATCCCTTGATTTACACAAAAGATATAAGCAAGGAGTTCACTGACATTGTCTCTAACTTGCCTATATGACTAAGTTATTTCACCAGATATAGAGAACAAAAAGAATTATGAGAGGTTGGAAGAAAGAACAATGATCAGATTGAATATTAGCACATGGTACACAATATGGTATAGCAAGTTATTATCACACAGTATGAGAAACAACTGAAAACAAAAGCTTTCTTACCCTACAATAAAGCTTGAATTTTGTGTAGTAAAGACTGTCAGCCATGACGACTATAGCATGTCTCCTCTTCATTGAAAACCACTAGGAAACATGATTATAGAGACGCACAAGATAACATCAAACTTAATTAGAATTAACCATCAGTATGACAGTATCGGGAATAAGAAGCAAACTTATTACATAACGCATACCTGTGAGCCCTTCCGAAAATCCTTCTTTTCAACCTCAGGCAGCATATGTTGAGAATACCGACCATTTCCATGTGGTCCAGGATCCTCGAAGCTGGAAAAAAAACATGCAAGATGAGAACACATACCACCAGAACACTGAGTGATAGCAAGACATATTGAACCGTATGAGTTAACTTACCAATCAATGAAGCTAAGATTCGCATAGATCAAGTGATTATAGATATAGTTAAAGTCGAATAACGGTACACAACTGCCAGGAAAAAAAAAAAAAAAGGTGGTGAAGTATGATTAGCTACACAATATATATAAGAAATGATTTATTCAGTCACCTACCTATCTGAAAGCAGCACAAAGTGTTGGTTATCAGGATCAATGAGAGCATGAGCTAATAGCCTTCTTTCAGCATCAACCATCGATATCTGACCCCAAGCAACCTGCACATAACATCATCATATCGTCACAACAAGTCAAACATTTGCATGAAACTGAATGAAAAGGTGTACCAAAAAACCTCATCACACCTTGTGACTGTGAATATCTCGACCCGCAAAATAGTTGCTCGTATGCGCAGGACTCTTCTTTGACGCATGCACATAAATCGAAAACTTGTTCTCATGACCCTGAATCGACACATAAAGAATGTCAAACGCTATATAAAGGCCTATTATTGCAATGAGGTAATGGAAGGAGAGTCATCTTACACGAAGGAACATTTCCCAGAGAGGCTCAAAAGGCAAAGCCCCTGGAGTTAAGAACATAAAGGCAATCTTGGGATTGGCTATCTTAGATTCAGGTAAATTCATTATCTCATTCGTGACAACCTGAGCTGCAGCTTCAGTATCAGTCAGTTCCCTTGAAGGAACGAACAAAAACTGTTGGTATAACTGACATCCAGGACCAGAAAACATATAGCAAGTCACAGAGTTCCGGGGAGGATAAATGAGTGCAGTGATGACAACGAGGGTAACAAGAGCAACCAATGTGATAATCCATCTCGGGCCCTTAAAAGGAGGCCTTTGGCGAGACTCTGACATAACTTGCAAATTTTCTCTTTAAGCTACCACTATACACATTGAACTCAGCTTAGTCTTCACTCCCTGATCAAAAGTAACAACCTTTAAATAATTAGAAGCTCATAAGGTAATTGTTTATAATATACACATGGTTAATAATGTCCATATAGACAACTTAACTCCACAAACCCACAACTCAAAATTCAATTTTTTTAAACATGACATCAAACAATGTCCACGCAAAGCCAATCGATAGATTAAAAAGATTGCATTTTAAAAAAAATGAAAAATTCAGTTTTAGATGCGTAGCAAAAGATCATCACTTTCATAGTTAAAACTAAGATGGAGACTGTCTAAACACGATATAATCATATTTTTGCAGCTGTCTGAACCAAAAAAGATATGATTGATATAAAACGAAAGGAAAAAGAGACTGAAAGAGGATTTAGAGTGTAATAGAGCGTAACAAAAGATCGAACCTTAAAAAATCGACGGTGGCGCAGAGCCACGGAAGAAGCGGAGGATACGAACAAGTGCGGAAGAGCGATAGATGAATCTGATAGAACGAAGAATCGTAGAAAGATTCGCTTACAAACGCTTAAGCGAGATAATCTGTCTCTTTCTCCCTCTCTCTCTGTAAGCACTAGAAACGGTCACTGTAGCTCCAAATGAGGAACGGACGTCCTTCTATTTTTCTTTCTCGATTCTCAATAAAAGTTTTTAACTAAAATGATAATCCTTCTTAATTAGATTTGGTAATTAATTCGTATAATTATCTATTTATTTCTAATAAACCCACGCAAACAAATCTAATTAATTAGTTTTTTTTTTGGTTATCCACCTTAACTTGGAAACGATTATTTGTTAAAGTAATATCTAATTGGATTATACTTATCTACGAATTAATCTTTCTCCTCAACGAAAATTGAAACATGACAAATAGGCACTGCAGAGATTACTTACCGTATTCGGCTTTTCTGATTCTCTCTCTCCCAATTTGATATTCTATCATTTATTCAAAGTTTCAAACATGTGCCAGCCACTCTTCCCATAAAGACTCATCAGTCTCTGCTAAAAAACAGAAATTACTTTAATCAGAATTTGGACCATTTTGTATCTTCGGGCTTTATAGGTTACGGGCCGGACATAACTTAGTTGGCCCAGTTCCCACATATTAGTTGGTCACGAACACAACACACCATTTTCACGAACCCCAACGGAGAGATAAAACGGCCGGAAGTGTCTTTGAACTTGAAGTGGGAAGCGACATTGATTCTTTCTTTGGCAGTTTCAAAGTAGTCTAAACTTTGGAAACGACAATGAGTTCAAATATTGGGACTAGCAGCAAGAGTTGTTATAACGACAATGAGTTCAAATATTAACTGATATAAACGTTACCACTTCCATCTCTTCCCTATTTATAAACCCATTCCCACACCTTTTTCCCATATCATATCAAGCTCTAAAACCTTTTGTTTGAGAAAGAATGTCTAACTGTGGCACTCTATCACCAGTCTATACTCCAATACCTGGAATCAAAGATGTTGATATGATTCTAGGTGAACACTCTGCCTCTACAGTGTCCACCAACCGTAACTACGCTGCCTTTCGGTTGAGTCTTGATCGTGGAAAGAATGCAGACGTGGCACAAGCAGGCCAAACAGCTATTTATTACATCGGAGGGATCTGTTGCTTAATGCCTGAAGTAACAGACGATGTCCTAAAAGGGTTTCGTCAGAAAGGTGGTGGCAGAGTTCGTGTTGTAAAAGTTCCTGATTCAGATGACGTGTCACTCCCGCAACAGAACATGGCGAATGCGTTATTTGGCTGGTTGGTGACCATGCTTTACAAGAATACAAACGTAGACATGTCCAACATGCGTTATGATCCTGGTTTCCATGCTGTTTTTGATGCGGTTGGTTTTGATCCGAGGGGAGAAGGAGAAGATGAGGCTTTGTCACTCTTTATTTGTCCGAAACATGTTCTTTGCTACTGGGGGTATGGTCAGTTAGGTCGTATCAAAGAATCAGTCCTGAAGGGTATTCTTAACCATACAAAGGACAAGGGTTCTTTTGGTGATGTGTGCTCATATGTGGTCAAAACCCTCTCATGGAAACATATGACAGGGTTTTATAATGTCTACAAGACTCTTGTCCTTTCTGATTTCCCTGTTCTTAGATTTCATGGATTAGCACATGAAATTGAGAATCTGCATAGGGCTGTTAAAGCAGTTTCTGGTTCTGAGATGCCTCGGTTTTTTAGGATCTTGGGGGATGGTTCTAAATACCATTTGGTTGAAAGATCAATGTTTCCTATGCTCGTTGCTGTTTCCGAGCAGATTATGAGAACAGCTGTTGATGTCAACTTTAGGCCGTCTGGTTCCAAGTTGACTGAAGTTGACTATCATGTTGCCATGCATAGGAACCAGTTTGCTGATGCTTTTAAGGCGCATGTGATGCAATTCTTGAATGAGCGTTAGAGTGATGAAGATTGAGTTAGTATTTATCTGGTAATAAGGAACTTTCAAAGTCTATGTTTTGCTATTTTCCCTTTGGTTTCAGTCTTTCTGAGGAGTCTGTGTTTTTAGGCAAGTCTTTTGTTATTCTTGTTTTGTTTCGGTTTCTGGTAATAATTTTTTTTTTATCTATATTGGTGTTTAATGGAGTCTGCTCTTGACAATACCGAATAACAGTGAACAACTCATTTCAACTGTCTGGTCACACTTTTATATTAGCTGTTTCCCAACCCTCCAGAGAAAAGAAACTGTTAAAAGTTCCGAGGTAAAGACAAAATGTTTCAGATAAATTAACAAGAATTTGGTTTTGATGCAAAGAGAAAATATGCTAAAAGATCATTTGAACAGAAGAAAGAAACAACGTGAAACAAATTCCTGTGAAATGGAAAAATACACTAAAATTACACCAAGCTTTGCTAGATTTTCTCTAGTAATGTCTAATATTCTGTGTGAAAAAGAGACTGAATCTTTGTCCAACACAAAACAATAAAAGGAGAGAGGTCAACACGTTTTGCAACAAAGAGCAGAGTTCAACCATGATCTTAGAAGAGTCCGCGGTTTAACCTCGATACCTGGCACAATTAGTAACCAATGGGTTTAGAAACGATAAACATGGATACATCTCGTATAGAATCCGCACACAGCTCTTTCTATATGTTCCAATACTCGATACATTATACAAGCCAGATAAGTGATAATCCGTAATCCGAGTTTGGTTCTATTACTAATGATACATACGCTTTGCTCATCTTTACTCTAACTAGACTACTGAGGCTGGAAACTATAATACTCATAACTACTTCCAAGGGAGAGAGAGAGAGAAGATGTCCCTCAAATAGCTTAACAAGCATGATATGCATTAAGAGAAAAAAAAGCAAATATGTCCAGTCTGATCAGAACAAGAGTGTACCTCAACTATTTTGAGCGCGTGGAACAATGAATCTCATTTCTCAGTGTGACTGTGACCCTTTTTGGTCTTACGGCGACCATGGTGATGAGGGTGTTTAACAGGTGTCTTTGCCTTTGTGCTGCAATAAACAATAACATGAGAAATCTTCATGATTTGGAGATCAAGTATTTATACAATAAAAAAATCTAGGAGTTAATTAGGAGACTCACCAGAAAAGGGAAGCGAGAACTCTGTATGCAAAGAAGATGGGTAACGCCAACAACGCAGAAGCCTGCATTGAAAAGATTTTAGATATGAAGTTATCAAGAGAGTAAACAAACAAAAGAATGGGGATATCAGAACATGTTCTGTAAGAAAGTAAAGATAAATACCGCAAACCAAACAAATTCACTGGTAGCAAAAGCCTCTGTCAGCTCATGGCTCTTTAGTTTTTGTTCAACATGGGCTTGGACCTTCGCAAACAACATGTGAAATTTAGCTTTAAAATCCAAAACACTTATTGATTCATCCCAGTAGTGGACATAATTTGATTCATCTTTGTAAACCTGATTATGATAAGTCGTGGCAGATTCAAGGAACTCTGTATAAACGATGACCACCTTGGTAGTGTAAGGTTTCATGGCAACCTTGATTTTATCAACATGTGGTTTCGTCGCCGTTGCCACTTGCTCAACGTATGGCTTGCTAAACTTTTTAGCCTCCTGTAAAGAGTAATAACATTAAGTTAATTGCTGAAATAGCGTGTATTAGACCTATCGGTTGAAAAAACAAACTGATAAAATACACGATACCTGATAATAAGGGTCTACGATTTCTTGAACCGTGACAATGTGAGGGGAAACAGCACTCTTGGATGCATGGTAAGCCTCTTTGGCTTTAATGGATAATGTTCGGACGTGTGGCTGAACATGTGTCGCAACAGTTTCCTTTACCGCTGGGATATATTTCTGTGAGTACGACGTCATAAGAAAAAGAACATAAAATCCAATTAAACTCAGTATTGGTGATTCAACTGCAAATTAAATTGCCAATAAGATGCTCACAGTTTTAATGTTTTCCACATGTGGTTCAGCCCACTTATCAGCTTGAGCTTTTGCTTCGGTGACCTAATAGATAATAAGTAAACTTCATCAGTCTAATGCTCCTCCAATGCTGTTTAGAGGCATTAATCTCAATAAGACTGAAATTTTTTAAAACAGCACCTTTAGAATTACTGTCTCCACAACAGGCTTCCCGTGGGCCTCCCAATGTGTCTCGGTATAAGTCTATATGGTAAATGAAATACGTAAAATTAACTGGCTAAATCCGCTATGTTACAAAACAGATAAACAAATCCATGCATTAACCATACCTGGAAACTACTCCAGTGAACAGCAAGCCAAGGGGGAAGCCACGAACCATGAGCCTGACCAAACAAAATAACTGGCGTTAGCTCTTTGTTCGATTCCGGCTTTTAAAATAATTATATGTATTATAGGTAAATAGTTGTAGATTATAACCAAATGCAAAACATTGTCAAACAATTACCTCCAGGAGTGCCTTAGCCTTTGAGGTTGCTTCAAGCTTTGTTCTCAACATTTCTTCCTGAAATTCAATTTTGGAAAAAAGGTGAATCGTGAGGCAGAAACCAAAAACCGTAGGGAGTCTAACTTAATAAGGGTACTTTACCTCAGCCATCTTAATAGCACGTTCAAGTTTGCCTATTTTGTTCTTCTGCTCTTCATTTGTCTTCTGAAGCTGCAAGACATCATTAACTATAATTATAACATCTTCAGCAGAGTACTATTAAAACTCAGCTCAATCCAAAGTACATATCCATAAAAGCACGGTAGAAGGTATAAAGCAGGAAAGGAAAAACAATCTGTGATGGTATTATCAGACTACATTACGAAAGATGTTGTACAGAATTTACATTCAACTCCAGGCTGGATTTAGATCAAATACAACTATAAAAGGAACAAATCATGCAAGGAGCTGATACTCATCTAGTATAGCTGAGAATGGAGACTGCAGAAAGACCATAACATAAATGACGAGGCTAGAGCATGAATATATTTAACCTCAGCCAAAAGGAAGATGAAATTAAGAACGTATATAAGCATTCACAACGTTCCTTAGCACTACTACTAGTACTAGCTAAGCAATTCAGCGTAATGTGTAATGAAAAAGGTGAAAACAAGGGAAAGTAGCATACTTTTTCTAGGCTTGAGTTTACTTCGTTTAGTTTTTTCTCAGCTTCCTTGGTCCGAGCTTCTGAGGAAGCTTTCTCCTTGTTCTTTTGCTCCAGGAAGTTTCTGAGTACCTCTATCTGAATGGCAGAAGCAGCATAAACGAAAATTCAGATTGCCGTTTGCATATTCTAATAGATTGATTTCTCAAACTTAAATGTTTCACCTGCTTCTCTAATTCAACAACACGTTCTTGAGCCTTCCCCAACTGTTTTGCAGAATCAGATGATCCCTATTTATGGAAAGAAGTGAAGACAGGTGTAAGAAAAAAACATGTAACAAAAGGAATAGATTAAAAAAATAAACAATGAGATGCATACTTGTAGTTTTGAGACTTCAGTTTGCAAAGAAGCAATCTTGTCTTCCTTCTGTTGAAGAAGTTTCTCCTTCTCTGCTACTAACTCGTCTTTGCCCTTAACTTCACGGCTTTTCTCATCGATTTGAGTTTCTTCACAACAACACATACATAAAGGTCATTAACAAGTGTCTTGCATTCACAAAACAATAGCAAAGCAATTCAACAATGAGGAGAAACTAATCTGAAACCAATCCAAAACCTACCAAATTTAAAAGTCAATGCTCAACGAACATAACTACATCAAAATCAAAACTTGCAATAATTCTATTTTAGGGAAGAGTCTAAAGAAGAATGCAACTTCGTTGACTAACCTAAAGCTCGGATCTTGTCGTTAAGCTGATCTACTTGGATCTTATAAGAGCCGTCGGATCCAGCGGAGTCAACAACCTCCGGCTCATCACTACCATCGGCAAAGACAGTGGTGGTGAAAACCAAGGCGAGAAGTAACAAAGCCACGATCTTCGCAGCAGCCATGTCTTAGATTCACCACCGAACCGATCAAACCAAAAAAAAAAAAAAGCGACGGAGATTCCAAACAAAAGAGGCAATGAGAAACGTTTCCTCTCTCTCTCTCTAGCGTTATGTGTTATGTGTTATATTTATGGAGGTCTGCTTTTTTGACCATGGGGGAGGGACCGTAGAATTTTTATTCCTTTTCACCGTGTTTGAAAACAAGAAGAGCGTGCAAAGAGGACAAAGACCGATGTGAGATGAAAGAAAGGTTGGTTCGTGAAGTTAATGGCTTCGTGCACCGGTGATGTCGTGATGGGACACGTGTCGTCAATCGGATCTACTTCTGTGTTTTTTTAATATTAATGACGTGGGGAATCCAAAGGCTGACAATTATTTTTATTTTCTTTAAACGTGAAAAGCATTTTGACAGGTAGATTTTTTTTTTTGTTCAACTACCAATGTTTTTTTTTCAAAATAAATTTAGTAGTCATCAGTTGACAAAAAAATATAAATAAATTTAGCCATCAGAAGAATTTTCATCTTTTCTTTTATTTACCAGTTTTTTTTTTGACAACCTATTTACCAGCTAATTGTTAGAAAATTTACTTAAGATTACATAAATCATCTTAGCACGTTTACGAAGAAATTAGACCGAGATCATGGCAATATGTCTTGGTGAATACTCTACACCAACTGGCATAACTTGAATCCAGTAATGTCATTTAATTTTTTTGTTATATACTACTAATAAGCTAACAAATGAACGTGATTGTTCTTGAGTTTGTACGATTTGGGTTTTGGTAACCAGTTTCTGTGGTTATGCTATTATCCAAAGTCTTGATGATAGATATACTTAATCTAGGCTTACAATTTACACTATACTATAATAACATGGTGCGATTACGTTACTTAATCAAGTATGTTTATTTTTAACTATTATCTTCTCTTTAATTAACCATTTTCTCAACCATTTTCAAGATTATTAATGCATGCTAGCCTGTATTATTTTCATCCATAATCAATGCACACCATGCTTTGTGGGCTATATGTGTTTCAATGGTGTCATTTTTGTTAGTTGAATCAAGCAACTTGTATTCTAAATTTCAAATACTCAATTTTTTATACATTAACGAACTGTTACTGCATAAGAGGGAAGAATCTTTGTTTCTCTCTCTAAGCACCTTATGACAATACTTTATATATTTACACTTGATCCAACACGATGAGTAAATTAATATACTATTGATTAAGATTGCAGAAATACGACAGTAAGTATGGCTGGATCTTGTGTGGTCTCTGAGCTATTCTTGACAATAATTGAGCATTTTCTTAATGAGAAAGTAACTTTGCTAACAATCAGTAAACATCAAAACATAAATAAACAGTTAAATAAATTGACAATGTCAGCTCCGTAGAAGCAATGACATGAACTCACAAGTTACGAGCACTCATCAGTTCTTGATTCTTGTCTAAATTTCTCGTCATAAACTTTCAAGAGATCCAACGGAAAGCCAACCTCGTGCTATCTAATCATAGATATCTTATTCATTCCTTCTGTTACTGCTTCATTGGTTTTGTTACTTAGTAGAGAAGACATCGTTCTATGTTGGATTGGGCCTCTCCCAATGCAATATTCACCATTCAATGGACCTTTACGCTATTTTGGTTGGTCTTCACTCTGCTTTATCGACTACACGCTTTTATTACCTATCTCGCAGTGTTTCTACTTTTGTCTGTCCATTACTTTATTTCAGAATATGAATAACGCTAACTTCCCCCAAAGTTCTCAAATTTTTTATAATAAAATAGTATTTGGATCTCTCAAACTTTAAGAAAGTCTTTCAGTAATTTCTCATCGGAAAAACTATTGATGAAGTTTCAAAATTTTAAAGACCCAAACAATATTTTATCAATATTACTTTTATCATCTTTTGAGAAGTTTAACCCAAAACTAATTAAGAACATAATTAATAGGAGGTGTGTGTTGTATGTTTGCAATAGCTTATAGTGTGGTATATTGATCTGTATGTTGTGTGTATTGTGTATATTCAAAAAATATATATATTAAGAACTTCTAACAGATTCCTCCATTGGACCATGAAAAATTTATTCAACTAAGAAAAATTCTAAATTTTTCAAATCATACAATTAACTATTAAATTAGTCATAAGAGTTCCTAATAGGCTCTCACTGGAGTTGCTCTAAAGGCTATAGCCGTAGAAGTGTGTGTGTGTGTTAACAATCTGTGATAGTGTGAATTAGTTACTTTGGCAAATGGATGGCCATATTTATATTCCTTGACCGCCTGTGGATATTCAAATTTTGAGACGCGGCAATTAGCAGTCTCAACCACGGAAATTTCCATTGCTTAAAAAGCTGTAAATTCTTGTAGTGGGAAATAGATAATTTCGATGACTGAATTGATCAAACTTAAATCTAAAAAGTTTAAGAAAAGGAACAAAATAAAAAAGAGTTGGTTAACAAACAACAACAACTATAATGTGAGTTTCATACTACGCAGACAAAAACAGCCGTGTGGACTGGGAGGATTTGTATAGGTTCGATCGTGATTCGTGACGACTAGCTCTGACACATAACAACTGCCTAAGTGAGATACTATTGCACGGAATAAAAATGTACGTCACATTTTTGGCCCGTTTCTTGCTCGACGTATGTCACATGAGTTATAAAAGTAAATAACACAGATATATAATGTCACGTTATAAAGTTACCCACATGGAAATGCCAGTTATAGTGATCGAATCTCAACAACCCAAAACGTGACACATACTCCAATATTATCATAAAATTTCCATGTACTGATGTACATACTCATAATACTCAATTCATCAACAAACCCTAATCAATACTACATGATAATTATACTATATATTACTACTGCGCTAAAAGTAGTTATAAATTTATTTGACCAAAATATCTTAAACCGAAACCTAAAATAATCTTCGAAATCTGCATGCATGTCCAATGTATAATACTTATTAACACGATTTACGCAGATCCAAAACTAGCTTTTCTATCGATTTTTCTTCTTTCTTTTCCAAAGAAGAAAAAATCGAGGTTATAAAGAAGAGGAACCATCATGACCGAGCACAAGAACACAAGCACCGGTCCAAATATCCAAAGCATCAAAGGCAACGCCGCGTAGAACAGTCTATTTCCCACCGTATTCAAAACAAACCCTCTCTCTAGCAACTCCGCCACGTACTCCTCCGGCGTTATCATCATCATCATCTCCTCCAACTCTTCGGGAGGAAAGGGAGTGTTGATGAGGATATTAACTTGGTTGATGAACCGGATCGAGAGAGAGTGAGAGAAGAAAGAGAAGAGGAAGAAGATGAGGATTGTTACATACTTAAGAGCCACCATGAACTCCCCGTGAGCTCCGTAAACGGCGTCGCTTAGAGGCTTCTTTACCGCATAAGTGCTGCTTATAACAGCAGCTAGACCCGCGCAAAGGAGGATTGATGTTGTGGCCATTAAAGTCGATCCCATTATGCAGTTTCTTAGCGTTTGAACGGCCAAGATGTTCTTCTTTTCGTTGTCCTGATTAATTAAAACGCATAATTATGAGTTTATATATGTGTGTATATATGTATTTAAGAGGTTGAAGATTACCTTGATGATGGAAGCGACCCAAAAACGGCGAGCTCTAGCGTTAGTACCGATGACGGTGGTGAGAGGCTGTGTACGTAACTTGTACCACAAGTAAACATGGTAAGCTGCATATGCTATTAGTCCTAGCGGCACTAAGATCACATCTAAGTAACATTCTTTCCACTTCATTACTAGTTCAAAACTTATCAGAAGCCCAATATTTTTTTTTGTGTATGTTATGTAACGCTGCTTTATGTGTGACTTATTGTAAGGTACTTTGAAGTAGGAAAGACCCTATTTATAAGAAAATAAATGATAAATGTATACCAAAAAAAAAATTGGAAAATAAAAATCGAATACATGTTGGTGGAGGGAGAGGGATCACGTCGCATGATTTGTCCTTTTGTTTGCCATTGTTATAGTATCCAGAGTGATCTTTCTCTTTTTTTTTTTTTGTCAATAAGTGAACTCTAGTTGGAGGCCATCATAATATTCATAATTCTTGCATGCATGCTTTTGATTTCAATCTTCTGTGTCTCTTTTCATTTTTCTTTGTAGTCATAAGGCCTATATTTTTTACGTTAATTATAAATTAAAACCATCAAATTTTGGATTATGATATACTTAACTGAGTAATAAAATGATTGAAATCTGACGAGGACCATATCATATGAGATAAGATAAAGACATGATGCCGACCTTTAACAACTTCAAACCTTTCTCATGATTTACTCTTTGGTCGTTGTGTGTTAAATTTACCTACATTTTATATTCCAACACGTTGGACTAACTATTACTATCAGAATTCTTCTTCTTTTTTTATTAAGGGTTTTCAAATTTAAATAAAACATAAAAGTTTACAACATAAAGACTAAAAATCTTAGGCTTTCATGAACAATCTCCATGAAGTTTAAGTCTCAATCCTAAGAAACAACTAAGACAGAGACTAGAAACACACAAAAAAACAAGCAAAATCATTTACTAATGGTAAGAGCCACGACCACGCAGGCCATGTTTTCCTCTCTTCCTAATAGTCTTCCACTCCATATCTTGCTATCTGTGAGGAGGTTTTTTTTCCCTCTCACTCTTTATCAAGCTGAGAGAGTTGGATTGGATGGCACAGTCTCAACTTCCTCTACAACCTCTAGTGAAACAAGTAGCTTGAGGTATTGCATACTAATATAATTTATTACCATAAGAATTCTCACATAATGTATTTATTTATTTATTTCTACTTTTTTGGAATTTCCTTATGGAGCTATCTTGTTCTTAGTCCAGCTTTGATATGACTATATGACTAAATCTTCCAAATCTTTGATATTCAGTACATACATGTAGTTTAGTCCGACTTAAAATACTGGTTATGTCATGTGTGCTATATATTTCAGATATGATGTTTGGACATATATTGGAGGAGCATATGTATGTTGGATATCAAGACATTATAACCCAAGAGATTTAAATAAAAATGTAAAACAACCTTTGGTCGCAACGTTCTTGGACGGGAAGTGCGGCTTCGTTCATATTTGAGTCATAGGATTCAAACTTAATTTCTAGTGCTCCTTCTTTTGATTCTTATTAGTTAGTACTAAAGGAAACTCAAAAAGCAGAATCGATCACCGACGAAATATCTTGAATTCTTTAATAATTTAAAACTTTATTAAATACTGAGCATCGTAACTATTCGAATAAGACATGCTTCTAGTAATATCATACATAGAATTTGTATATCAGTCCTTAATTTCCATGCAACACTTTGGAAAAACACAAGCTAGTATATTTGTTTGTGAGGCTTGGAGATCGACTTAATGAGAATGGGTTTTGTGACTTTCAAATTTCAATGTCAGTGTAAATTAGCTTAGTCATCCGCCACAGATCCGACATTATGTAGACGTTAGTGTTCGAATCATGTTTCCCACATATGGAATAAACATATATGCTCTCATTTCTGGAACTCTATTTTCTTAAAGCAATGTTGTCGATCGAGTAATGAGTAATAATGTAATTTCTTGGGCAGCTAATTTTGCATATCATAAGATATTGGATAACATATAACGACATAATCTGAATCTCGTTGGAGATCATATAGCCAAAGAAAAACACCTAAAATCGATCACAAGATAGGTAAAGTATCAACGCAATTTCATTGATCGGTTGGAAATGAAAATTCCAACAAGTTCTCAATGTTACCCTAAGAAAGATGGAAAAGAGGGAAACTTGGAGATAAATCGCACTGAAGAGAAATACGGTTTGCTATAAAAGGTAATTTGTATGATTATGGTCTTAGAGCATCCACATCAATGAACCCCCTCTTGGGGTTCATTGATTCAATTGTTTATTATTAAAAAATTTTGATTTTCTTTTTGATTTTTTTTTAAAAAAAAAGAAAAAAAATTGACCACCCGCGGGTCGCCACGTGTCCCGGGACCCGTGCTACAGTGATGAACCGGGTTCACCACAGAGAGTCTGCAAGAAGCAGGTTCATCACTATTCCTTATTTTAATATTTTTTTTTTTTTGAAAACCGTGTGAACCCCCATCTGAACCCTTGATGGGGGTGCTCTAGGATCGTATTGCTAGGTCCATATCATTGATGTTATCACAATGACATATTTTATCATTTCTTTTGCAAGCTTTGGTTTAGTACAATTTTAATGGAGCTATCTACTTCAACAATGTTTTTACTAAGAAAATGTGTCTCGATTTCAAAATATTGTAGCCCAAAGAAAACCAGGATGGTTTGGGCTTCTGAGTTGTAAAACTAGGGGACCATGGGTTTTCAATATCCATTGAGAATTATGATTTGCTTGTGTTAACCCTTCAAGTCATTCATTCTTTTTTGAGGCATGACTAAATTACTAAAGACATGTCAATATGTCACACGGCGAAATCTGTGGTCGGAAACTCGCCTAGCGAATTTCTGGCGATTAACCGGCCGAGTTAACCGCATTTTTGAACAAGGTTTAGCAATAAATGGACTGGAGTATTGGTATTTGGTACATCTCATCCACCATTGATCAGCAAAAAAAAATTGATAAAGATGTTTGTAGAAATTTTGGGTTTTAAAGACTTTTTTGAAGACTTGTAAATTTTGATTTTAAAAACCAAAGTGGACTATAGAAGTAGTAAACTAAAATGAATTCTTCTTATTTTCTTAGTATTTACTATTTAGCAACTCACACATATCCGTTTTGTAAAACAGCAAATCAAATCTTGAACACATTGGAAATCAGATCAAGCAAAAGCAAATACAGAATCAGATTAAAATAGAACGGAAACTGGAACTTGTATCATATAATAAATATATTTATATAATATTTTCAATTGATCATCTAAAACAAATTACAATCATGAAAATCATTATTGATTCATGGCACGTAGAGAGATCAGGGAATAAAAGCCAGCTTGTTTTTTCAAAATTAAATTACATTTTCTCAATCATTCATAGGGCTCAATCATTTTCTTCATGCATGGTGGTTAGTACCACCTTTGCAACTTAAACACAATTTTCCATTAAATATATGTAAATAACTAACTAATAAAGAATGTACGGCATTTTATAAACCTACTAACCTCCAAAATACTGTGAATATTTTTCTGGAAGGACAAAGTAAGTAATCAATCATTTGAATTTGGAGCAAACTAAACTGTTAGTATAAATAAATACGTACTAAAAATGAATAACGTGAATTGTAAAGGGCATGTTGTACGGGCCACTACGTAAATATATCATTAGAAAGATTGAATTATTGTTTATTAATATAAAAGTAAATGGTGGGTTGATATGGCCTGATTGGTCTCGTGGGTAGCAGTTACGACGCGGATCAAATTGGTAGACAAAACCGGTGGACACTACTTTCTCTAGTAGTTGACCCACCGGTTGATTAGTATCTGATACATTCATGGTTTTTATAATTTAAGTCTCATATGTAACATATAACAAATATATACAACAAGTTGTAGGCTTGAATTGTCAGAAACTAATGTGAGGTGAATTATTCGTCGACTATTTCCGCTTATATATATGCTTCAACTTGTTTCCACACTTACCATATCTTTTCTAGTTAGTTTGTAAGCTATGGGTGCTCGTGGTTTTAAGAACTTCAAAATTTTGCATCATTGGGCCAAAACAGTTTTGTAGAATGGATACTTTCCGTGACAAAAAAAATAAAAGAATGGATACTTTTTTTTTAACTTAAAAGGGTTAAATCCGAATCTACTAAAGATACAGATCTAACTCCCGGATGGACCTTCTTATAGACATTCAAATAGATCGAAAGCAATAATCCATATCCGTATGACCACAAATTGAAATGTAATGGGTGTCTTCGAACCCGGATTATCCCGAAACTCGTCTACCACTACACCACCATCTTGTGGTTTTGGATATTTTTCTTTGTAAGTTTTTTTAGTTTGAAATCCTAGAATAATAATTGTAATCATTTAAAAGAATGTGAAAAGGGATGACAATAATCATATTACCTACAAATAATAGATTTTGTGTGTATTATAAAGTTAGACGAATTATTTTAGCGTTATTTTTTGAATTATTAAAAGTCCAATTTAACATTCTGATAGACAAAAAGTTATTCTAATTTTACAAAACGTTTTATTATGCTTTTTGCGTAATCGATGCTGATAGATTCATTGCTTACCCGCTAGTTCATCACCAGCACATGCATGCAACCATCGCTAGTCTGAAAATTTGAAGGCTATAATGCATTAAAGATAATTTTCTTATTTTATTAAATCGGCGTCAACTTTTTTATTAAGTATTTCATGTACTATTAAACCGACCTTTTGTTGCTGGTATGACCAGAACATATGATTTAGTCGTTGAAACCAATCATTATTTTCATTTGTATATTTATAGAAAATGTTATTTGATATTTTTGTATATACTAACAAATTTTACTTGAGCCTCTAGACTCTAGAGTTAGAAATCAAACCACTATTTTTAAAACTGCTGATTTATGAAGCCATGCACTTGTGAGATAATAAACAAAGTCCCACATTAGAGAATTAGACAAAGAGTGTCTAATATATAAAGAGAAGTCCAACTCTAATAGTACGAGGCCTTTTGGGAAGGAAACCAAAAGTAAATCCATGCGGGCTTGTCAATTAGGTCCAAAGTGGACAATATCGTACTAATATGAAAATATAGAGTTGGACATGGGCTTTCACAATTCC